ATATTAGCATAATTTTCAAGTTTTAGAACAAAAGTAAAGTATGTTGGGCACCAGTAGGTTACTTTTCCTTTACTATATGAAGTGACTTCTATATATATTTATATAGTATATATTTTTTCTATATATATTTGACTTCTTATATATTTGTCTACAAGAAAAATTTCAGGCAGATCAGAATGTTAAGATCATGAAAGAACAGATCACTCAAATGTCAACATTTGTCTGGTAGTGTATAAGGCACTGACCTCCTGCAGGTTGGACTCAAGAGTGCAGATGTAAAGCCACAGGGAGGCATGTGCCTTCTCATCCTTCAACCTATCAGCATTCTCTGCGGTTTCTGGCTCTGCCTCCAGCAACCGCAAAGCCTCATGGGTAAAGTCAACTGCTGAGCTGATTACCAAAAGCAAAAAAAAATTGTTTAAGTCCTCCATATTTTCAATCTTCTATCTCTGATTCAAATGAGGCAAAAGCAAAAAAATATATATATAAAATGAATATTGTCCTGTGTTCATGGTCACCCACCAGTCAGTCTGTTGGCTGAAGTCCTGGTAGCACACAACCTGTGCCATCTCACACAGATAAGTAGCCCGTCTCAGTGTGTGTGGTGTATCTTCATGGCAGATATCTAAGAGGTCACAGAGTGTGTTGTAGCGCTCCTGCGCTGTGTCTCCAGTCTGCTCTTTATACACACGCAACTCCTCCTCTAACAAACACATCAGAACTTCCTCATCCATTAATGCTTCACCTAACCCATCCCTCAGAGTCCTGACAAAAAAACAAAAACAAAAAAATGAGAACGATTTTCAGCACATTCACTCTTTAGTGTCAAATAACAGTACACCAGAACCATTTGCGATTGGCTAAATGCAGGTTACCTCAGGCGTGTGTCGTCCTCTCCTGCTCGGGCAGCATCACACTTGGTCTTGACCCACAGTGACACAGGTTCTGCCAGATGATCAAAAATCTGCATGCCCAAAACCCGAATCCAGCGCACTATCCAGTCTAGTGCTCGCTCCAGCTGACCTCCACGCCGGCTACACTGCACCGTCAGCATGAAACAGCGATTTACCTGAAACATCCACACAATAAATCTACAGCCAAGATCTTATATTGTCAGTTATACATTTGCATGCTTTAAACTGAATGTACAGCTTGAAAGAGTTATATACTATAGCATATAGATCAGACAATACAAATGCAAGGTACTTCAAGAGCCACAATAAAAAGACAAAATGTCACAATTTTATATTTTGCTTCTTTTTATTCTCTTTTAATCTCAACAAAAGCTAAAAAAAAAAATGACCAGAGGAAGCTGTAGTTCTTACCCTATCCAGAGGAAGAGAGGGTGGGCAGTCCTTACACAGCTCCTGACACACAATCACAGCCAAACCAAAGGCTCCCTCATACAGCTTCCTGTTAAACAGCTCATACACCACATTATTCACCGCACACACTAGAAAGAAAAACAAAAACAAATGAATATAGAATTCAATGTATGTGCACTTACACAACAGTTCAAAAGTTTGGGGTCAGTAAGTTTTTTTTTTCTCCAAGACAATTATTTTATTCAGTAAAGACTTTTACATTGTTGTTATAATAAGTTTCTATTTCAAATAAATGCTGTTCCCTTGAACTGTCTATTCATCAAATAACTCTGAAAATAAAAGTCAACCAGCATTTTTTAATAGCAATTTTCAACATTGATAAAAAAAAAAAATAGTTTCTTGAGAGCTAAATCAGCATATTAGAATGATTTCCAAGAACATGTGACACTGTATGGCTGATGAAGTGCTTGAATTCAGCTTTGCCATCACAAAAATAACTTAAATTAAAAAATATATTAAAATAGAAAACAGATATTTTAAATAGTAAAATATTTCACAATATTACCATTTTTAGTTTTGGAAATGTAGCCTTAGTGAGCATAATATGTCTTTCAAAAAAATTAAACTTTTGACTGGTAGTGTATATCTATTCTATAATGCATTCAAACATCCAATCAGATTTCAGCATGCAGCTTTCAGGAAGATGTACCTGCTTTAAGTAGGAAGTTGTCATTGTTGAGTGTCCGCAGTTCAGCAAGCATGCGTCCTGCAGTCGCCTGGCAGTACAACAGCACCCTGTCCAGAGAATCGCCCACTGACACCTTTGGACGTAAATGTTGAATGAAGGATATAAAAGTGATACATCTAGCCAATCACTTTATCATGGCCTAAAGTAGGTTTAGTGTTTTACCTGAGATGCGTGAAGACTATCGTATGTGCTAATGAAGCCCTGGTAAAAGCTGAAGCAAAGGGAGTACTGCACCTGCTGTGAAAACGAGTCCTGGAACGAACAAAATCTTTTAAAAATTCACATTCCAAATATGTATCAATGAGTACCAGTGAATTATACAATCTTACCTTTTGCTGTGCAAGCAGAAGTTCCTGATATTCTTCTAAAAAGGAAAAGCAAGCCAGCAATGTGGTTCTATCCATCCCTTTACACTGACCAGCTTCCAACGCCCAAACCACTAGCTGACAAGCCTCTAATAGGGCATGAGACTCTGGGCCCAACATGGCACGGGGCAGCACCCTGAGTCCACGTGCACATTCAGTGAAAGCCTTACTACATTCACCTCCCGAGCTTAACGCACACTGCAGCTGCAATGCGCAATCTGCAAGGCTCAGAGCCGAACGCAAACCCACATGACCATCAACCCGCTCCAGAGTGCCACGCAACAGTCCAACAGCCTCAGCTGAAAACCGGCTCTTACATAGCAGTTTACACACTTTAAACACCACCTCACACCGCACAGCCAGCGAGGGACAGGTCAGCGCAGAGTCTTGTAGGCAGAAGAGCAGTTCTCGTAATTCAGAGATCAGAAAACTCACATCGTCGAGAGTAAAACACCCACACGACCGTTCATGCTCCACCACCGCTTCCTCTACAAACAGAGGAACTTTGGATGGGAAACAGGCCGAGCTGGACCCCTGTTCTAGGAGTTTGAAGGATAAAGCTTGTAGCTGACAGTGAAGTCTGTCCCTCGGAGAGAGGGTGGAACCACTCGTTCTGTTAGACAGGAGACTGTTCCACAGCACTGCAAAGCAATTCCGCACCAGAACATGGAAGTCCTCCGTCTGTTGACAAAAAAACAAAAATATGAGGTCTACAGAGAGCACCTTGAAATATGAATACTTTATTACAATCGAAAGAAATTTAACGGTTTCCACACTTTTTGATCAAATGAATGCTCATGATTTTTCCAGATTTATGATTTTTTTTAAGACTCAATCATACTGTACCTCTGCAGACAAACGCTTTAGTCTGCTATACATAAGTTGGCCCAATCGACAAGCAGGGCCGTGAGCTCCAAGGTTACAGACTTTCTGTAGGATGTGGAATACTATTTTCTCGAGATAAAATGGGTTGCTCTGCATTCCGGACACTTCGAGCAATTCAAACCCTCGGACGGCCAGTTCCACCAACTCCACTATCTGCTCCTGATGGGCAGGGTCCAGATTCCCACTGCCCAGGCGCTGGTTGCACGCCCGGATGATACGATCGCACATTGTGCGACCATAAGGACCAAGCCCATCATCAACACGTTTCTGCAGCAAAAGAAAAAAAAAACTCCTCGAGCAGTGTGCATCACATATGAAGTAAACTCAGGTTCTCTAACTCACTGGAAAGCTGTTCCCACTCACACATGTATACACAAAACAATCCGGTTTTTGTTTTTTTTTACCTTAAGCTTGTCATGAAGAACTACAGTTTCCTTTACACAAGATAACTGTTGGACATACTCCTCTGTTCTCAGACACTTCATTGTCATCACTGTTGTGTCTGCAATGCGAAACAAACTGCTTTTTAAGTATTTCAGATACTAAGATGATTAACTGGCATGGTAAAATAATAGATGTTTGTTGTATATAACTTACGTGTGTGTATATAAACTTTAATACTAATAAATATAACGTAACGTTACATGAATGTACAATGAGCAAACGTTACTACATAACATGTTTTATGATCATCTACAATGCTTTCTTTCACACTTTGTCATACAACTGCAAACTAGCATGTTAGCTAGCTAACTCAGCCCAGTGTTAATCGCTAACCAGTGTAAACAAATCAAATAAACTTGTTAGCCTGTTACTTACCATGCTCGGTTAAACGGTCAAATGTGGAGGAATAGCGACGTGTGTGTATATAAACTTTAATAAATATAACGTAACGTTACATGAATGTACAATGAGCAAACGTTACTACATAACATGTTTTATGATCATCTACAATGCTTTCTTTCACACTTTGTCATACAACTGCAAACTAGCATGTTAGCTAGCTAACTCAGCCCAGTGTTAATCGCTAACCAGTGTAAACAAATCAAATAAACTTGTTAGCCTGTTACTTACCATGCTCGGTTAAACGGTCAAATGTGGAGGAATAGCGACTCTATTTGAGTGTTGAGTCGCTGTTCGCTGAAACGAGTCGCTGAAATGTGGCGTTCATATGTATCTTCAATAAATATAAATGTAGAATGTTTTGTTATTTCCAGTCGCGCGTCGCCGTTATCAGGATGACAGCAGCGGAAAACAGAATGAAGTTCTGCTCGCGCACTTGTTTAAAATAGCGCAAAGCTTATCGGGAAACTGCGGGCACGAAGTAGAGCTAAGGAACTATGGGTACTGTAGTTTTTAGAATTCTTACATACAGTCTCTACTGATTTCCTTAATTAGTAGCAATAAATGTAAGTATTAATCTTTCGGAAACGGACAATAGAAGGCGATCTATTAATTACATTGTTTTAAATAAACTGAAATTAAATTATGAAAGAAAATATACAAGTTGTATTTAATGGCACCTTTATTATTTTTCTTACCCAGACCAAGTACAATACAAAAATAACACTATTAAACGTTTTGCAGTAAAGCTAATCAGACATCAATGGTAGGCCAACATGATTCATAGGTCCCCTCTGGAATTTCCCTTTTACTGTCTATGGGAATTTCCTATGGGAATTTTATCTAGAAAATATTCTATATACAGAAAAGTAATTTTGGATCAATGAGAAAAATAAACTGTGGTTAACTTTCATGTTTTTTTCAACAACATAACACAAAGTCTTAAAAATGCAATTTCTCTTAGATAGAGTTGTTTAGTTTTACAACAACCTGGACAGCTCTCATAAGAGAAACTCAAGGCGTTTTGTTCAGCATACATATTAATATGCATAAAATACATCACCATATTTATAACAGTCCTGTTCTCCTGTACTGCAATATGTTTATTGCTAGCTTAGAATATACATTTTAAAGAAGTGTCAATTTGCACAGTGTAAGATGTACAATAGACAAAAAAAATAAAACAAGATATTACAATAACAAACTTCAAGAGATTAATGTTTCAGATGAATCCTCTTTCAGAATGTTAAATAATTTCAGAATGTTGCTATGCGTTCTCCTCGTTTTGCATATGCAAAGGGTTAATCACCGTTGTTGTGGCACCTTTGAAAAGAGGATTCTGGACCTGCATTGAACAGAGAAACATTAGATTGTTAAATATTCAATCTGTAAATTCTTTCATTTCACACTGAAGCACTTAAACATCATTTTGTATACACAGGTTATAATTTGCTCCACATTTATAGCCACTGTGTGCACATCACCTCGTTCCATTCGGTCTGTTTCTGTGCTTTGACGAAGTTCTGATATTCTCTCAAGTCATACAGTTCCAGCAAGGCACGGTATATAATGATTATTATAATGCCAATAACAATTATGCCTGACACAGAGCTGCCAATTATAACTGTAGTCTTATCAATGGACCCTACAGAAGGAAATAAAAAAAAAACATTTTAACTTTTAACATTCGTTACATCAATTCTGTGTCATACAGATATATGTGTGTTCTAATCAAATGAATGATTTTTAATACATACAAAATTATATTTTAATACATACGGGGCAGGTCTGCATATCGAAGTATAATTTTGCCGTTAGCATCAAGTTCTACTTCGTAGGAAATGGCATCTTGATATGTGCAATGCAGCTCATGAGTGCCATCAAGGCGAAATATTTTAGCATTCAGACATTTCTCAGCGCAGACACTGGCATCAGGAGTACCAGCTACAAGACATGCCACACATTCCCTACAGACACATTAAAACAGAGAAAGGCATTAGTCAGACACTTTTATCCAAAGTGACTTTTAATTTGTAGTACATCGGATTCAAGGTATCAGTTCATGCTTTAATCGAACCCATGACCTTGGTGTTGCTAGCACTATATGCTTTACTACTGTACTTGGCTGGTGTTATGCATGCAGCATCAGAGCATAAAGCAAATAGTTTTTTTTTTTTTTCATTCCACCTCGAAATACTTTTATGATGTTATCAGTTACAATGAGCACTTGAGAAAGAACTAATGACTGGATCTGCCAAAGTTTATCCCATGTTTTGTTTGAGGCACTTAGTAGCAAGTACAAATTCACAAGTAGAACTGTATATTTTGCTTTCTTGTTGTTTTATGAGTTATGTCTACAAAATCATCATAATTTATTCATAGAAATTCTTATCACACAGAGTAGGCTACACATTTTCTGATATATTTTCTTTGTTCTTTAATTTTATTATTATAATTTTTGTACAACCTTTCACAGAGACCGCCTTACCAATTATTTTTTTTCCCACGCTGGTCTATTGATGTGGTATAATATCTTTCAGATAAATGTGGCCTAAAAAGCACAAACTGTGGTTGCTTGTTTTACATGTCTATCAGACAGTCTCTTCCATTCTAAGTGGGTAGCCAGAATAAGCTTTAATGAGGACCAGACATTATAGGTCCGTCCCAATTCGCATACTTATGCAAAATTCTATGACGTTTTTAAGTATAAATAGTGTGTGTGTTCACACTGAAAATTCCAAAAAATAAAAAGTGCACTTTAAATACATGGATGATGCACTAAATTAACGGGAAAACGAAATGTGGAATGTTTTACACTTCGTGCACTTAACTGTTGCAACTTTAATCATATATATATATATATATATATATATACATAGATGCCTCATTAGCCATAATGGAGCGGTCTGTGAACATTCGAGAGCGAGTTGACTGTGCATCTGCAACCGTAGTTAGACGCATATATGAATAGAATATCTATATATGAAATAGACTTCAGCAGATGATTTTGCAAAAATAACACAATACAACAAGACGAAGGCGTCAGCTGACATTACAAAGTTACCATATTAAAAGTAAGAAGATTACAATTACCTTAGTAAAAACCTGTAATATTGAGTTAATACATATAAAAACCCAAACAAACACATTTTCACCTTTCTACGTATACATATCTATGACTTTAATTACATAGCGGAGGGGAGGGGCATCAGACTCCTTTGTTGGATGACAAAATAACCTTATAAACTTCATACACTACACGGATGAGTACAGAGTAGTGTATAAGTGCATAGTGTATAATTCGTCATTTGGAATGCAACTTATGTCACATTTCAAATGTCTTGCTATGCAACATTATAATCATTATTAAGTTTATGACTTATTGAACAAACAGACAGAGGAAACCGAAATTGTGGGTTAAAAAAGAAACAAACCCACACACAACTGCACAACTCACTAAAAATAATCTTGAAACACAGATATCAGATCACAGGAAGAGATACTCACTTAAACAGCATGCAAGCGTTGATGAATGTAGAGCAGTGATCTCCCAAGAAGCCTGTGTAACACTGACAACGGTTGCAAGTGCATTTGCCTTGACCGCTGCAAAGCGCCTTGTCATTAATACACTTGTCTTGGCTAGGCGAGCACTCGCAAGCAGACCCCGTGTAGTTTTCTTTACATTCACATATTCCACACTTACATGTTCCCTGTCCTATGACAACCACGCATAGGAGTAGATGGTGAGTTTTGAAGATGAAACTTAAAGAAACAAACATATTAAGGCCAAATATTTTACTTACCATTACAGGACTTGCCATTATGGTTTTCACAACTATTGTCATCACACTCGCAGTTCTTCCCACTGTAGTGGCCTTGACACACACACTTGCCACACTCACAGGTGCCGTGTCCACTGCACACCAGAGAGCTGTTGTCAGGCCGACAGGACGCCAGCATGTTGATGGTAGAGTCCGCATCGCTTTGTTGCACACACTCGCAGTGCTGACCCAAATACGCTTCATCACAGCTAATGCACACATTACACACACAATTTAAGTAAAAAATGATAGTGAGTGAGACATACAAACATTTACACTTGTACAAACAAAACCACATATTCACTTAAAAGATTATTTAAATATATCAATATGTTGGCATAACATCACATATCGTTCTGGTGCTGTTTTATTTCCTTTCTTCTGTGAAACACAGAAGGAGATGGTGATTTATACGGCCAAGTTAAAAAAAGAACCACAAAATAAAATAAAAAACTATGTTTATGTCTTCTGAAGCTGTTAATCACTGAAAATGTTCTTCATGTTTATATTCAATTATATATATATATATATATATATATATATATATATATATATATATATATATATATATATATATATATATATATATTTATATATTATTCTTTTTTTATTTTTTTATGCCAAACCCCATTGGTTCCTGTATGTCACCTGACCAATCACAACACAATGTGTGACAATTTTACTGACTGTTTACAATTCGAGACTAGCAAATTAGATTTGTGAGCTGACAGTTTTGGTGCTTTTTTGGGGGAGGGGGGCGCTTGGTAGAATAAATCCCAATGGAAAAGACCTTGGACAATCTGTCTAAGATCTCCTTTTTTGTTTCATGGAAGAAGAAAATAATACAGGGTTGGGTGAATTTTCAGTTGAATTACTCATTCCTTTATTCCTTAATATAGTCTTTAAAGGCACAATATGTAAGATTTTTGGATAAAATATCAATGTTATATATTTTGTTGACTTACATTATCCCAAACTAATCATTGTTATATAGCTCAACACAGTTAGTCTTATTATGTGAATCTATTGTTTTCTTGATTTACCGCGAGTACCATGTACCATGCCTCAGAGACAACACTATTATGTCAAGTGGCTAACATAGCAAAATCAGAAAGAGCTTTATTTATAGTAACAGTAATACAGCATTTTCTCCACTATACAATATATATTTTCAAATTAATTGCATTCCATTTAGCAACACGAGTCATCCAGCTTTTATTAATATGATATTCTAATATTGATCTGACTTAGGCCTACCTCAATGTGCAACAAGTATCTCACACCAGCCACCGAGCTAATGCACAGAGTACGATTGTATTTTTAGCATGATTGTTTTGACCTATTAAAACAGAGCTGCGTTACCCTATAGCTTTAATTCGTCAAATAAAGAGATCTGTATGAGAAGTAATTCAGCACTTGGGGCTATTTCGTTAGAATGAAATAAAATAATGTTAATTTAAATGATCAAATGTAACTGTAACAAAGTTCAGGTTCAGGGAAGAAGAAGAAGGTGGACGTTAAATGTAATCTTAATCGTAAAATATGCATAAAATGAAAAGTAGCATAATAAAACAGCAACGTAAAATGCCCCAGGCTCTCGCCCCCACCCGGCTTCATACCAAAGCAACGTTAATAAAACTTTAATACATTAGATCAATGTTTCCCAACCTTGTTCCAGGAGGCACACCAACAGTATACATTTTGGATGTCCCCTATCTGGCCCCTTAATTTCCGGTCATGGAGCACGGGTGCCCAATCTTGGTCCTGGAGGACCACTGTCCTGCAAAGTTTAGCTCCAACTTACACACCTGCCTGGAAGTTTCTAGTATGCAAGAGCTTGATTAGTGTTTATTTGAGGTTGGAGCTAAAATATGCTGGACAATGGCCCTCCAGGAGCAGGATTGGACACTCCTGTCTTTGAGTCTCTATCGAGCTGATGTTGAATAGTTGAATAGTTGTAAAATATGTAGTGTTGGTGTGCCTCCAGGAACAGGGTTGGGAAACACTGCGATAAGCTCATGATTTCAGCCCGAGTCCCGTCTGATTGCTTTCCATCGGCTGTGGAGGTGAAGACGACAACTCCCATGATTCCAAACTACGCCTTTGTTATTGTTTTGAATAAGCTAACTCTAGCGGTGAAACTTGCATACTGTGCCTTTAATCATGACATCTTTACAGATTCTGTCAGCTGATGTGTAGTTCTCTGCTGAGATGCTAGGGGGCTCTACCTGCACACGCCGCATGAGAGCGTTCCTGTACTGTTACAGTGTTTAGAAGCCTCCTCTGGAGCACCACAGTCACAGTGACACTCTGTATTCACTGTGATCTTCACTTCCTCACTGATACCTTGCATTCTGATCCGAAATGTCTGAGGCTCCTTCAGACACGCAGATGCGTTCAATCGTACTCGGAACTTAATCTATACAAATAATAAATCACAAGAAAAAACAAAACTTATTATCAGACACAACAACAAATGTTTCCTGGTTTATGATAATGAGGAAACCACTGATGGTGGCGCTCACCTTCTCATGCTTGATGCCTTGACACTCTCCTTTCTCCTTCCATTCAGTATCTGCCTGATCCCTTTTACATGAAGAACTATAGGACACATCCAGTTCTTTTGGAGCTCCCTCATGCTCCAACACCAGTGTGGACGACAAATTCTGGCCCACAAAAAAAATTATATTCAGTATGTATATAAAAATATACAGTCATGTATGAAATAATTAAAGCAAATAAAAATCTATGGCAAGTTTGCCAGTTATATGTAGACAAAAGTTGTTTAATTATTAGTTAAAGAGTTTAAAGTGTCAAAACAAAAATAAATGTGGCTGTCAGCCACACTTTACGCTGAACGGTCAGTTGTTTCATGCTATGGTAAAATATTTTCACGTAATGACCAGTAAACTGTATTGACCCTTAGTTATCCTTGGCAAGCAGTTTCTTACACTGTGCTAGTTTAAAGTCTCTAATATGACTCCGCAGTCACATGATCATAATAATGATCACATAATAAGATAATTTAAACTTAAATCATTCCATTTATGGCAATTTATTTATTGATTTAGAAAGTAGGCCATGTAATAGGCACAAACACACCCACACACAATTTCAGTTAATTTAGTAAATTATTTAACCATTAAACAGAAGTGAAAAACAGCAGGGAAACGATGACTATTTTGTTCCTGCAGCCACTTGTAATTAGTTCAAGTGGGAAGTAGGGCCAGTGCACAAGCCACTAAATAGGGTCAAAACACAGGATAGCAAATGATGAAAACACTCACCCCATAGGCTTCAGAGATGAGATCAACAACATTACTAGAGTCATTCTTTAATACACCAACCACAGACTGAGGAATCAGTGCACTCAATGCCTGTGAATATATTTGTGTGTGTGCGAAAGATGGAAAAAGAGAGAATTATATTTTAATAATACATATAAATTATTATTATAATAGATATATTTAAATATTTAAATGTATACACAATGCTGTTCAACAATGCTGATTGGTAAGATTTTTAATGTTTTTGAAAGAGGTCTAGGCTATAAGAAGGAGATATATAAGTTTCTCTTGTGATCAATGAGTTGTGATCAACCAAAAATACAGGAGAAACAGTAATACTGTGAAACAGTATTACATTTAAAATGACTATTTTGTATTTAAAAAAAAAAAAATTAAATGTAATTTATTTCTGTAATGGTGAAGCTGAATTTTCAGCAGACATTACTTCAGTCTTCAGTGTCACATGATCCTTTTATCAAATTATTCTAATATGCTGATTTGGTGCTTAATAAATATGTTGTGCTGCTTAAGTTTTTTTGGAAACCATAATACATTTTTTTTCCTTCAGTATTCTTTACTGCATCAATTTAATGCATACTTCCTGAATAAAAGTATTCATTTCTTTAAAAAAAAAACTTACTCACACCAAACTTTTGAACAGTATTGTACAGTAAATATATTTCCCTCAAACCTTATATGCTGGATAAATGCCCTCAGTCACAGCAAATATGAGCTGAATATTGTTTTTCTGCAGAACGCTAGATACATGGCCCACTGATGGGTAATCCTGTAGGACAATTGAATATGATTTTTATTTTGTATTCATATGCAAACTATCCCACTTATATTCCTCTTAAAGTTGAATTTTTATTCTTTTGTTCTTTTATCTACAACAGAAAACACATAAAGAATGTTCATCATTAAATGAGCAGCACTCACATAGGCTCTTCCATTATAGGAACCGTTCTCATTAAGATGACACTGTCCATTATGTGGCTTAAAGACACCACCTAGTCGTCCATCTCCTGCCATGTGAAAAGTATCATCAGATGTGTAAACCAGAATCCGATTCACATCATGCCATCTAATCTTCTCCTGTCGTGAGAAAACAAAAAATAAATACTTTTTCATGTACAGTAGCTTTTCACAGACTTTTGATATACTGCACACAAAAATGGCAACTTGTGGTAAAATCTTTACATGTAATTCCATTCATTCATGGCAAATCAGCTCTCACCTTACAGACAACAGCCTGCATTATTGCATCCAGACCAGCCTCAGGAGAGTCCAGGTTGCCAGAGATTTTCTGTTTGCTAACTTCTCTTTCAAACTCCTTGGCATCGTTAGTCAATGGCAGGACATTCTGAAAACTGAAAGCTGGTTGGCAGGTATCTATACGATTGGGGCAGGGGTTCTGACGTCTTTGCTTCACCTGACTGACGTATGGCAACATCTCCTTATCAACAAAAGACCCGAAACCTGAAAGATGGAGAAAGGGCTTAGGATAAATGACAGAAACATAGCTGTAATTCAATCACAGCCTATTCTTTAAAATTGCAGTTAAAATAGGTCTATGTGGCGAGCAGGACGAGGACGAGGGACGTGAGAGCGGTGCGAGGCCGGTGGCGTGATTAATGATGAACGACACCTGTGAGACGCACCGGTCTCGTATCTCTCACGGAGGAGCGGAAGCATAAAGGAGGAACGACGACTGTGAAGATGGAGAGAGGAACAGGCCTGAACTTATGTTGTGTTTTGTTTTATTATATGTGAAAGCAGTCGTCCGTGAGAGGCTGCTGTCTTTACTTTCGTTTTGTATTTGTTTTATTTTATGTTATTTAAGGGTTAGTTCACCCACAAATGAAAATTATGTCATTAATAACTCACCCTCGTCCCAAGCCCGTAAGACCTCCGTTCATCTTCGGAACACAGTTTAAGATATTTTACATTTAGTCAGAGAGCTTTCTGTCCCTCCATTGAAAATGTATGTACGGTATACTGTCCTTGTCCAGAAAGGAAATAAAGACATCATCAAAGTAGTCCATGTGACACCAGTGGGTTAGTTAGAATTTTTGAAGCATCGAAAATACATTTTGGTCCAAAAATAACAAAAACTACGACTTTATTCAGCATTGTATTGTCTTCCGGTTCTGTTGTCAAACCGCATTCAGTGACGCTGATGACGTGTTATCAATGCGCCCGAGCTTCGTTTACAGTCTGAGGGAGACGCACGGCACGCTGTAAACAAATCTTCGCACACATGTCTATGGATTTCGACACAGAGGAAGACTTGCCCAGCCATATTTATTTGAACCCGAATACACGGACACACCAGATAACACGTCAGCAGCGTCTTACGTCATCAGCGTCACTGAACGCGGTTTGACAACAGAACCGGAAGACAATACAATGCTGAATAAAGTCGTAGTTTTTGTTATTTTTGGACCAAAATGTATTTTCGATGCTTCAAAACATTCTAACTAACCCACTGGTGTCACATGGACTACTTTGATGATGTCTTTATTTCCTTTCTGGACAAGGACAGTATACCGTGTATGCATTTTCAATGGAGGGACAGAAAGCTCTCGGACTAAATCTAAAATATCTTAAACTGTGATCCGAAGATGAACGGAGGTCTTACGGGCTTGGGACGACATGAGGGTGAGTCATTAATGACATAATTTTAATTTTTGGGTGAACTAACCCTTTAAACTTGTTGATTGTTCGCCGGTTCCGCCTCCTTCCCACAACAACAAACCTCGTTACAGTCTATTTTACTTGACAATTACGTTTTTTTTTTTACGTTTTTTTTAATTAAGCAATTAGATAACTTGTTAGTAAGATTTTTTTTAAAAAATTGAAAGAAGTCTCTTATACTTACCAATGCTATATTTATGTATTTATTTATACAAATTCATTAAAAACAGTAATATGTTGAAATATTATTACAATTTAAAATAAATGTTTGGTATTTTAATATATTTTAAGATGTAATTTATTCCTATAATGGCAAAGATAGATTTTCAGCATCATTACTCCAGTCTTCAGTGTCACATGATCCTCCAGAAATCATTCTAAAATGATGATTTTGTGCTCAAGAAAAATGTCTTCTTATTATTTGAAATTTAATAAAAGTTTGATATGTTATGAAATATGAGCAGAGTATAATAAATACATTTAATATAGAAATGTATTTTTTCCAGACCTGGAAATACTAATTATGTTCTATTTAGAAATAATTGTCTCTAATATGTTAAAAATTCATCACTGGTTAGCCACATTGCTGTTAGTATTTCAGTTAGCGATCCTCACCGATTCGGACGGTCTCTGTGATGTCCTTCAGCTTCTTGAGGATTTTCTGCCCCAGAGTTTTAATTTGCTCCAGATCATCTTTCATGGAATAGCTCAGGTCCATCAGGTAGTACAGATCTATAGGGTAACCCTGAGCCCTCTTAAACTCAATTGAGAATTCATATGGAACTCCTGCACACGTGAAATAAAAAATTATTTAGGTACTACATTCCCAATATACTATTGACTAACATTGTTAAGGAGAGTCAAAAATATGGTTGTTTTTGTGCCAGTTGTTATATATGGCGTATTGTATGTGTAAGAAACATAAGCCTGTATATATTTGCTGTATAATATTACATCTACTGTACATATTAAAGTGAACAATTGCACTAAAGTGTAAATACTCTGCAAATAGCTTCAAGCTTATGTTCCAATAAGTTGCAGCATGCTGCTGTATACGAGTAAGCTCACCAACTCGGAGTGTAATGTTGATATTCTGAGGTTTGAGTTGGACCACATTTTCAACATCGTTGCTGAGGTCACTGTTCTTTACATGGATCAATGGATGTTTTCCAGGATTGATCACATTATCCTCTCTACAACTCCTGGCCTTCAGAGACTCGGCAGAATCACAGCGCCGTTCATTAGACTCGCCTGATTTTAAAAAGTCCTGCATCACAAGGAAATGGAAATTTGCATTGCAAGTACAATCAGTTATAAGCAATTATAAAATAAAAAAAATTATAATAATATACAAAATAAAATAAGAAAAAATTGTCCTTAAAAATGTGCTTCATATGGTAACATCTAAACATCTTTATTATAAGTGACCTACACCAAATCATGATACGGGTCAAATCGGGGTTAAAATAACGATTTTGGTACCATTTTTTTTTTCACATTTACAATATAGGAGATAGGGTGTGGTTTTGTTAAAGTTTAACACATTATACACATTTATAACTTGTATAAATGTTTATTTAATTGATTTAATGATTTATTGGTTTTAAAGGTCCCGTTCTTCGCGATTCCATTTTTCAAACTTTAATTAGTGTGTAATGTTGCTGTTAGAGCATAAATAATACCTGTAAAATTATAAAGCTCAAAGTTCAATGCCTAGCGAGATATTTTACTTAACAGAAGTCCCATTTCCAAGCATACAGCGAACGGCCGGTTTGGACTACATACCTCTACTTCCTTTTTTAATGACGTAACTAGAACAGCTTTTTGACTAATCTCCGCCGACAGGAATACACACAAAAAAGGGGCGTGGTCTTGTTGCGCTCCCACGGAGAAGAAGCACTGCAGCTGCGCATGCATCTCCAATTTATGGTAAGAGGCGTGACCTTTCCGGGCAACGTGCGATAAGCTGCTGTCGAATCACAACACAGGAACCGCTGGCACAATCAGAACTCGTTACGTATTTCTGAAGGAGGGACTTCATAGAACAAGGAAGCAGTGTTGCCAGATTGGGCGGGTTCCCGCCCAATTGGGCGGTTTTGAATTTGATTGTGCGGGTAAAAAAGGGTTTGGGCGGGTGGTCAAAATTTGGGCTGGTTTGGGATCATTTCGGCGGTTTTCAAACATCTACATTTTAGAGTCTAATTGGTTAAAAAAAACGAAACTAAAGTGCATGTAGTCCATAAAATCAGTCATCATGACATTACTGTACACACACGCTCATGCAGAGTCAGCTGGCGTTAGTGTTGACATCACCGACGAGCACGCACTTTTAGCCAATCAGCGATCCGCAAGCAGACGCGATTGAGCGCGAGAAGTTGTAGCTGTATATTCAAGTGATCGCTAAGGCAAAGTGACATAGCCTACTATACAAAAGAGTGTACAGTAGTGAGCAACTCTAAAAAACGCACACGTGGAAGGAGATCACTCTATGGTGAATATAACTCTGAGAGGAGAGCACAGTTGAATGACTTGAATTGAAATCAAAAATGGGACGATTCCTGTCCATGTCATATGTGCACACTAGCCTAACCAAACATCTGCAACTTTACACCATCCAGACTGCACTCTACTTGTCCCTGACAGCTGCTGAAAAAGGTTTGAATCAACGATGAATCCGTTTTGACTGCTAAATTCTGCGTTATGTTCTGCAAATGTGTACTTCCGAGGGTTAAAGTCATCGGTTCATTTCTTGATTGCCGTTTTGACAGTGTCCACCTGGACATTTTAGTCATATTGGCTAATTCTCCTTAATTATTGCCCTGTTTTGATCTGTTTTGCTGGAAAAAAATTTTTTATTATTATTTTATTTTATCATCGTTATTTTGTTTTAAGGAGATACAAATTGTGCTTATCAACCTTAAATGACATGGTAATGAAATTATATCACATTATTTTGGCAGTAAAAATTTGGGCGGTTTTTTCTTGTAGTGGGCGGGTTTTGGTGAGCTTTTGGGCTGGAAATCACCGTCCCAATCTGGCAACACTGCAAGGAAGCAGTGTTGCCAGATTGGGCGGGTTCCCGCCCAATTGGGCGGTTTTGAATTTGATTGTGCGGGTAAAAAAGGGTTTGGGCGGGTGGTCAAAATTTGGGCTGGTTTGGGATCATTTCGGCGGTTTTCAAACATCTACATTTTAAAGTCTAATTGGTTAAAAAAACGAAACTAAAGTGCATGAAGTCCATAAAATCAGTCATCATGACATTACTGTACACACACGCTCATGCAGAGTCAGCTGGCGTTAGTGTTGACATCACCGACGAGCACGCACTTTTAGCCAATCAGCGATCCGCAAGCAGACGCGATTGAGCGCGAGAAGTTGTAGCTGTATATTCAAGTGATCGCTAAGGCAAAGTGACATAGCCTACTATACAAAAGAGTGTACAGTAGTGAGCAACTCTAAAAAACGCACACGTGGAAGGAGATCACTCTATGGTGAATATAACTCTGAGAGGAGAGCACTGACTGTTGAATTACTTGAATTGAAATCAAATATGGGACGATTCCTGTCCATGTCATATGTGCACACTAGCCTAACCAAACATCTGCAACTTTACACCATCCAGACTGCAATCTTCTTGTCCCTGACAGCTGCTGGAAAAGGTTTGAATCAACGATGAATCCGTTTTGACTGCTAAATTCTGCGTTATGTTCTGCAATGTGTACTTCCGAGGGTTAAAGTCATCGGTTCATTTCTTGATTGCCGTTTTGACAGTGTCCACCTGGACATTTTAGTCATATTGGCTAATTCTCCTTAATTATTGCCCTGTTTTGATCTGTTTTGCTGGAAAATTTATTTATTTATTATTTTATTTTATCATCGTTATTTTGTTTTAAGGAGATACAAATTGTGCTTATCAACCTTAAATGACATGGTAATGAAATTATATCACATTATTTTGGCAGTAAAATTTTGGGTGCGGTTTTTTCTTGTAGTGGGCGGGTTTTGGTGAGCTTTTGGGCTGGAAATCACCGTCCCAATCTGGCAACACTGCAAGGAAGTCATCAGGCCGTTTTTTGGACAGTGAAAACAGCGGCATACAGATGTAAATTGTGTGAAAAATACTGTGTTTTTTTACACGCGAAACATGAACACATGTTATATTGCACACTGTAAACACAATCAAAGCTTCAAAAAAACATGAAGAACGGGACCTTTAAAATTGCACAAATGACTAATGACTGGTAAATATGTGCAAACTAGAATCTTCTGAAGGCTTTAGAAGCTGAATGAACTTTGAGCATACTCTACTTTAAATATAATTTCAGGAATTATAACATTAAATGGTTAGTTCACCCAAACATTTTTAATTCTGTCATTAATTACTCTCATGTCATTCCAAATCCAGAAGACATCTGTTCATCTTTGGAACACAAATGAAGATCTTTTAATGAAATCTGAGCTTTCTGTCCCTCCACTGACAGTCTGCAACAACCAATTTCAAGCCCCAGAAAGGTAGTAAAGACATCATAAAAAGGATCTATTACCTCGTTTCCACCAAAAAGAACTGGTTCGGAACTGGTGCTGGTTCAAAGTTGGTTCAACTTGCGAATAGGGTTGCCAACCGTTCCGTATAATAATAATGTTACGTATTTGACACATAAAAGGCTTGTTCCGTATTGAACTGATACGGAACGCACTTTGTTCCGTATTTTTGAGAATCAATTCAGTGCAAATCCATGACAGACGCATAGCTTCTAATATATATGTCAGACAGACTATGATGAATGAACGAAGACCCTTGGCGCCACCTTGACGGGCTCTGACGTGTAATGACGTAGAGTTGGCTCATTGGTCGCACGTCAGAGGTGCCCGCGCCATTGGATGTGCAGTTGCCGCAGCGCAGCCTGAGCGAGCCAGACGCTCAATGTGCAAGCTGTGCAGCTGCAAATGCATTTTACAGGCTTCAGTAAATCGAGTAAAATGTGTTTCCGAAGACATTTGTAAGCTATGATAAGAAAAACTACTAAAAAATTTGAAAAAAAATGTTTGCACCGGAAAGAACATTCTAGAAGTCTAATTCTATTGAATAAGTTCGCACAAGGCTACAGAAAACTGTTGTGTTTATTTTTCTTCAAATGCAGTCTAAGCCGATGAGTTTCGAATGTTATATGTTGTATTTGTTTAAGTTAAAAATAAAACGTATTATAATCTAAACAAATACATGGTTCATTTTTGGCAAAATGATCATGATAGCCTTTATATATCTGTGTGGTTAAATGTTGTATATTGATTAAGCCTACTTTGCTATTCTATAAATATATAGGCCTAATAAGTTGCATTATAATATGATATCAAATGTATGAATTTCAGGGGGCATGTCACCCCCCCCCCATGAACTCATGAACTCATGATTAGTGAAGATATGAAGAGTTGAAGAGTTATCCTTAATTATGACAGGGGTCATAAGGATTCATGCATGAATAACAGCAGCCTTAACTACATGATAGTACATGTTTGATAGTGTAAGACTGGAAAAACTGGAAGAACTGTTTTTCCAGTCTAACACTGGTCTTACACTTACAAAAAACTGGAAGAACTTGGAGAGCTAAATAAAACAAGCGGTGTGCCAAATACGTAGGCTAGGGGTAGTTGTGAGAGCAGATGCCACGTAAATTATTATTTAGGCTAATACGATAAATTTGTATTTCACGGCAAGCAAATTTATGTGTAGGCTACACATAAGAAAGCTCTGTCTAGGCTCTGCCCCGGTTTGTGTCGGGCCATTTATTAGTCTGGCTGTTTAAAGAGATTAAACGTTGTTGCAATAAACTCTATAATAATGCAACGCATTCTCATCCCAAGGCGTCACTAAAATGACAATTTTGACGACGCTTTAGGCACCCTTTAGCGTCAGTTACATGACGCTTGATCTTGCTTGGCCAATCAGCGGAAAGGGGCGTTTTATTCCCGCCCATTGAGATCGAATATTCAAACTCTTCTTTATCTATTTTGGTTTTATTTTTTTTCCATTTGGCGGATTAGAACAAAGTGTGATGAAAACAAAAATAAAAATATGAAAAAACGACGCAAGACTTGTTTATTTATGTTCATGAGAAGGGTCGAATATGTGATGAACGGTTTAGACGTTTTTCCAAATAGAAGACAAAAACGAGAAAACAAATGATCCGAAGGTACATGGACCTTTCTGTTAGGTTGGAGTTGTATAGGGTTACCATTAATAAGTTTAATTTATATAGCGCCTTTCCCAAGCTCAAGGACGCTTCACATTGACAGTATATAACAAGCAGTTTACACATAGATAGACAGACAATGTGTCTAATTGGTGAAGGATAGAGTCTGTGGTTAGGTCGAGGATGGGCTGCAAAAGTTCAAGGCTTTACGAAATGTTGATTAGGCTACTTGCAAGTACAGAGTGGACCCTTTGATGGTTAAATTAGCATAAGCTAGCTATTGCTAACTAGCACTTAATCATAAAAGTTTGAGATAATAGGATGTTTATGCAAATAAACTGTATGAGTTAGAGTTTTCAATATTTCAACTGAATTGTGATTAACACGTTTGTGTAGTACAACATTTTTAAGATCTAACTGAATCTTTGAGTTTGTTAACTTTAAAAAATTGAGTCAGTTTACTTAAATGTTTTGAGGTAATCGGTTTCCACAAATGTTTAGACTTAGAGTATTCTCACCTTAACAGGTTTTACAATGAAGCAGCTGTTAAGTTTGCACAGAAAAACATGCTCAACCACAGGTACCACAGCAGGAAAAGAGCCTCCAAAAGGGAGCACAAAGTTAAATGTGAATGCTTTGTTTCTCACTAATCTCTTCTCTCAGTTCTCTTCAGCTCTGACAAAGAACGACATCTTCTCCATCCTGATCATGGGAAACTGACTCTTGAGGAAGGACTCTTCAATCAAACTACGTATTGATCCATTCACATGATAACCTACCGTCTGTGTGCACCACGCACATCCAGGACTCCTTATACATTCAGAACATGAAGGGTGAGATTGACAAAATGGTTCTTGCCCTAAAATGCACATAATAAAAAGCACATTTTAATCAAATCAATTATCAAAAGCATCAAAGACTTGTTTTACTTTTCTAAAAAGGCATGGATGTCTATGTGCATTACCTTGTATACAGTGAAAGAGAACTGTCACAGCTATCACAAAAGCCTTCATCTGCAGAGAAAGAGTGTTTTAGGTTATAATGACAAAAAGTTCATTTCGAGCTCATCGAATATATTCAAATTCAAATATGAAATATACCTTACTAATACTGTATTTCCAAGATACTGTCCATTTAGTAAAATCAGAATAATACAGAATTACTAAACACTCAAGATGTTTTCATATTTACCAGATATTTAATAAAAGCAATATTCCTTTTAACTTCCTTTTTCTTTTTACACAAATAAATACATAAATAAATATTGAAATATCTGTGTTTTTGGGACCAGAAAGACAAATCACATCTGATGTTCTCTTTGTACATTTTTACAATTGCTCTTTTGTTGAAAAAAAAAAAACAGGATTTCTACATGTGCGTGACATACAATATGACAGACACATGAATAAAGAAAAACAGAACTAAATGCTAAACGTAATAAAAAAACACAACTGCACTTCCACCACGCTGTGTAGCCTACTTCTCATTCATGTGAACATATTCAACACCAGACATCTGACAATGAGTCAGGCATTACAAGATGGAAATGTTCAAGCATCTGTAAACCAAGGCGGCAGACATACAAAACCACAGTATGTCACTCTTCCTCTTTCGCTCAGCATTAACTAGCACAGGGACATAGACCGGGTGAGAGACAACTCAACTCATCCAAAGGTGAAAACACCTATGGAAAACACACATTCTAGTATTCTTTCCCAGTAGTAACAATCTGAACTAAATCTAGGTGCAACCGTCAGCTACTTTTTTAAGTCGTTTTTTGAAGTAGCGTGTAGGGCTGTCAAACGATTAATCACGATTAATCGCATCCAAAATAAAAGTTTGTGTTTACTTAATATATGTGTGTGTGTACTGTGTGTAATTATTTTGTATATAAATGCACACATGTATATATTTAAGAAAAATATGTTATTTATATATAAAATATTTATATTTATATAAAATATACATTATATATAGGCTACATTCAGTCTATATACAGTATATACATGCAAATATTTCTTAAATACACATGCATGTGTGGGTATTTATGTATTAAAAATTATTATACACAGTACACACACATATATTATGTAAACACAAACTTTTATTTTGGATGCGATTAATCGTTTGACAGCCCTAAAAAAAACATAATTTTTAGGTGTAGGTTAGCCCTGTTTCGGTAACGGAAACATTCAGAGAAACAGAGAGAAAGAGTGTTGTTGTTGTTGTTTTTATTACTGCACCTGATGTTATATATATATATATATATTAGTAAAGCAAGCATTCTAATAGACAACTGGGCTAAAAAAAATAAAGTTTAGTGTAGCTTAAATAATTAAGAAAGCAAATATGCCAGAATAAAATAAAGTTTGTAACAGTTACCTAATAATCCATAAATAAATACAGAAACAAAGGTTTTGCAATAGGAGCAATATGAGATAAAGCATTTAAAGAGCTACAAAATATGTAGCAAATTTTTAACAATATGATAGTTTGTATGTATTTTGTTGTTGTTGATTTTCTAATTAGAAAACCTTGAAAATGTTTGAAGTGGAAGTGAGAGGGGAAAAATTCAAATCCACTTTTAATTTATTTTGGAGGTATTGTATAATGGTACTCTAATTAATTGACCTAAAACGATGTAAATGTGTAGTTACAAAACACCATGGCATATTTAGTTCATCATGTAAATATTGGGTTAATATATTACATGGTTGAGTTAATATGTCATTACTTGTCATGTAGGCCTAAACAGAAACTATTTCATATTAACTATCTAGACTAAAGTGTATTTAGTTAATTTATTTAGGTCTACTTATTTATTGTCTACTATTATGCTAATTATTATTATTTTTCACTTCATTTATTTATTTAATTTCTTTCAAACAAAGTGGGACACCCAACCAGTAATTAGATGTTGGTCAGTCTACCAGTTTCAGCCCTACAGCAACAGTTCCCTAATTCAATTCAACAGAACTTGCTTTTCTCCTAATTCAAATGGTACTTTTCAAACTGTTATAAACTAAATATGTCAATCCTTAACAAAAAGTCAATTATATAGAATCCAACACAACGAAATCTATTAAAATATGAAATCATTTTATTCGTCTCTTACCGTAAATGTGAGATGTCGTGCAGAACGTGTGAATGCGAATTCAAAGCGTCACTCTGGAGGCGTCATCATGATTCTCGTCAGAATGTCTATGGTTGTGTTTCAAAATCTAGTGAGCTTCCTATACCAGACAGCATATTTGGTCGCTACAGACACGTGCAGCATGTTTGAGCAGGGTAAGCGGCTATGAAGCTAAAAAAAAAAAGAAAGAAAGATGTATAGACATGATGTCTAGATAGGAAGTTCACTAGGATTTGAGACACAGCTTATCGATCACATCACAGAGGTAGGCTACAATGCAAGAGCTACAGGAATAATGTGGTCACTTTAGTTCACCTCTTCCTCTTCCTGTCTTATTTTTTAGTTGTCACTGCGTATCTTACTTTTGTAACTTTCCCCCCACAAGCCAAATGCAACACGCTTCAAAATATTCAAATAAGATGAGAATAGTATTCGCTCTATACAATTTGATAAGAAATGAGTATTGATATTTGCAAAGCAAATGTTAATAAAGTTATGACAAACATAACAAAAGAGCACTGAATCAAGAAAGACGTACACCTGTTTAGTTTTACTAGATTATTACTTAAGGCCATTGTCAGTCACCACATGGCGGTGCAAGTTTCCGGTTGTTGGATATGTTGATTAACTTCTATTTGAATCTCACATTTGTTCGTAATCTAAAAATTCTGCTTTAGAAAACCGTTATTTACACACACACACACACACACACACACATATATATAATATATATATATATTAAGGGGTTACCATAGGACCAACTCTACCATATTTAAAAATAAATACAGAAATAAATAAATGCTCAATAAATAAATAAGCATACAATTAATTGCCCCAAAAAATACAATAAACAAATAAATGTAGGTAGAAATTAAATTATACAGTGAGACATAAATGTATATATCTCTTTTAATTAGCTTCTTTATTTATTCACCTTTGTAATAATTACCTTATTTATTTATTGTCCATTATAATCTTCAACTTTATTTATTAATTACTTATTTTTTGAAGTATTTATTTATGTGCATGTTATAATATTTGTGTCTGTTTTATTCTTCCTTTGTATTTTTTTACCCTATTTATTTCTTCAATGCTATTTATTTCTGCCTGTCGTTTCTACATTTCTGTATGCATTTCTGCCTCATTATGCAAATGAGGAGGGGCTGTGTCTTAAAGGGATAGTTCGGCCAAAAATGATATTTAACACATGCATTACTCACCCTCAAGCCGTTCGAGATGCATATGTCAATCTTGTTTCAGACGAACACATTTTCAGTTATTTTAGAAAATGTCTTAGACCCTTCAGTGGATATAATGTGAAGCAATGGGGTCCACCTCCTTCAAGTCCCAAAATGTGCATACATCCTTCACAAAAGTAATCCATCCGGCTCCAGGGGGATAAACGAAGGCCTTCTGAAGGTAATCCGTGCGGTTTTGTCGTAAAAATATACATATTTAAAACTTTATAAATGAAAATATCTGACTTCCGGCAACAATCGACGCGCGTTTACAGATGGAAGTCGGCGTACGAGGTATGACGTAGCGTAAGAACCGTCGTGACGTAGAACGAAGGCGCCTGCGCAGCCAGAGAGCAGAGCAAAACAAAACTCCACTCAGTTCACCCTGAGTTCGCCCGTGAACGCGCGTCGATCGTTGCCGGAAGTCAGATGTTTTCATTTATAAAGTTTTAAATATGTATATTTCTACGACAAAACCGCACGGATTACCCTCAGAAGGCCTTCGTTTACCCCCCTGGAGCCGGATGGATTACTTTTGTGAAGGATGTATGCACATTTTGGGACTTGAAGGAGGTGGACCCCATTGCTTCACATTATATCCACTGAAGGGTCTAAGACATTTTCTAAAATAACTGAAAATGTGTTCGTCTGAAACAAGATTGACATATGCATCTCGAACGGCTTGAGGGTGAGTAATGGATGTGTTAAATATCATTTTTGGCTGAACTATCCCTTTAAGGGGTCAACTTCTGCCCATAGAGAGCCTAAGCCCCTCCCCTCCGCTTCCGGCTCATGGGACCTTATTTCGGAAAAAATATGTATGGTAGTCAATGGCGACTGGCGAGAGACAACTTATCTTTTTATTCCGTCTGAACTGTGCCCTGAATTACACATATGATGTTTGTCAATTTAAAAGATAATTATGAAAGTCAAGAAAGTCGCAGTTTGTCATAAAACAGAAGAGTGACATTTAGTTTTATGTGAAAATCGCTCAATGAACTACATCTCCCGGGAACCGAAACAACGAGCGAGAACCGCTGCTCGTGTGTGTGCAGTCTGGTACAAAACACTCAGGCATGACGGCGTAACGTTACGATTATAACGTAAGACCATAGAACAAATGACAGACGTTAGCTTCAGTAAAGTTAGCTTCATTCATTGAGAGAAAATGTGCGCCTTTTGGGTTTGTAGTCTTTTTAATTACGTATTTTCACAGTCTTATACCTCAACAGTTTTACATCAAACTGCGACTTTCTTGACTTTAAAATGTATCTTTTAAATTGACAATCAGGGATGAGTTCCCTAATGAATATTAACGAGTCTTCCCCTACCACCCTTTTACAGTCTATGCTACCACCCTTTTACAGTCTTGTCTATGCTACCACCCTGCAAAAAAAAAAAAAATCGCGGCCGGTGGCATGTAGATTCGACCAAGGGGGTAATCCATTAGCCGGAAGTTGAAGCCTCGCGGGAGCCGCCATTGTAGCAGACCATCACCTGCTGTTAGCATCCCATTGACTCCCATTCATTTTGGCGTCACTTTGACAGCGAATAACTTTACATCTGAGGCGTCCAAAGACTTCATTTGTCCATTATTTATTTCTAAAGAAACACGACAATGTATAAAATGTTCCATTACTTTGTATCTTACGTTATGGCCCCGTAGAAGCCGTTTTTAAAAAAAAATAGGCTAAAGATTGCGTCATAACCACGGGACTTTCTGTCGCACAATAGAGACATTACCGTATAGACAGGAGGAGAAGCTCGCTGGCAATCTTTAACTGTCTATGAGGCAATCGGGGGGACATGGAGGCACAAAGTCAAGGTATAAGCCCATAAATAGAGAGTCTATAAAAGCAATGGGACAAAATATTTCAACAACGTTTTTGAGGAATTAGGTGATTCAGATTTGGCTTGGCACAGCTACTAGAAGATTTTCAACTGCCAGACTGTCGTCACGCTCAGTTTGAGCCTGCGCAGTCGCTCAGACATCAGACAGGAAGTGCAATAATCGGGCTTCAGTCTTCTCCATTGAAATCAATGGGCTATATGCACGCACAACTTCCGCGTTTGATGCAAGGATGCTCTTGCGTTTCCGGTTGGGGAGATTTAAAGCGGAGGAAAACCGAGGAAACCGGGATTATGGCAGAGTCTTCAAAATTTACTGTCCTCTCGTCTTTGAAACGAAACTTTAATACGTTTAGATGTGATTTTATATATAGTTGTGTTTATTTAATATAATAAACAAAGAAGCATAAACAAAAATGAGGGGTGTCTGTTTTGTCTGTTTTTGTGACTAACGTTTCTTTAGTATAGCAATAGAGTATAAAAACTAATATAAATTCTCGGTATAGCATTGGACTCTACGATCGGCGGAAGTAATCCAGCATCCTTAGACCTTCACCGGAAATACCGCCGTGCATAGAGCCCATAGGGTCGCTCTGTCCATTTCTTTTACTGTCTATGGATTCGACCGATGCAGTAAAATGCTAACCAACCAATGGGCAGAAGTTGACCCCTTAAGACACAGCCCCTCCTCATTTGCATAATGAGGCAGAAATGCATACAGAAATGTAAAAACGACAGGCAGAAATAAATAGCATTGAAGAAATAAATAGGGTAAAAAAATACAAAGGAAGAATAAAACAGACACAAATATTATAACATGCACATAAATAAATACTTCAAAAAATAAGTAATTAATAAATAAAGTTGAAGATTATAACGGACAATAAATAAATAAGGTAATTATTACAAAGGTAAATAAATAAAGAAGCTAATTAAAAGAGGTATATACATTTATGTCTCACTGTATAATTTAATTTCTACCTACATTTATTTGTTTATTGTATTTTTTGGGGCAATTAATTGTATGCTTATTTATTTATTGAGAATTTATTTATTTCTGTATTTATTTTTAAATATGGTAGAGTTGGTCCTCCATAATATATACATAAGAAAAATTGGGCACTTTGGAAACTAAATTTCGCACAAATATAAATCATGTTAAATCATGTTGGTCTTTCAGAAAAAAAAAACAAGTAAAAAAAAAAAACACTGAAAATATGCAATGTCATAAATTGTATTTCTCTGGCAATGTTGCCATGTTGATATTAATGTGACTATACAAGCATTACTTTTCTGTGAAATCATCGAAAATTAAATCTACAGGTTTAATTTAGTCTGGCAGTTTTATTTATTTAGAAACAATAGTACAATAGTTTTTTTTTTTAACAATAGTACATTTAGGCCAGATAGGCCTAGTGGTGAAATGGTCAAAATACAGCTGAGAGTTAAAATTTGTGGGGTTTTGTAGGGATAGGTCACCCAAAACGGGAAATTCTGTCATTATTTAGTCACTCGTGTAATTTCTTTTTGTGTTTAAATGGTTTTGGAAGAACATTAGGGTGATCAGCTGATTATTCTTTTATAGTAAGATTTTTTTTTTTTTATCCCACTGTAATTCAACGTGTGTCTAGACTGCTCCTCTCTTCTTAATAACATGCTCCATCGTAGCGGTCTCTGATGTGTCCAAAGTGATCTTGTATTTGGCCAGAATCTTGAGAATGGGCCTAAGCTTCAGCCACCACTGAGTCTTCGGTATACGATGTCTGGAACAGAAACAGGTGGGATTCACTCAGTGAATGACAATGTGTGTGATGCAATGAAACAACAGTAAAATTGATCGGGGATCACTCACACAAAGTCAGTGTCCTCTTTGAGATCAGAGAGAGGCTGGAAGATCATGGCTCTCTTCCTCATTCCCAGAACACAGGCAGAGTCCGGTGTGTTAGCAAAGA